TTATGGTACTTTTGATAGGGCAGCTGAATTTGTATATTATGTGGTTTTTGAGATATAGACCTAAAATAGTGATCTTTTCTGAATTTAGATAATCCTATATAATAAAAGCCTAATATGCAAATAGACCGAACAGCTGAACAACCAGTTGCTATGATGCACATTGACCACTGGGGGGCAGACGCACAACGCAGGAGCTGCCCCCAGCCAGCAGGCCCCAGGCCAGCCAAAGCAAGTGCAAGAATGGCCCCCTTCCCCCCAACACCCTGCCAGTCATCCCACAGATGGAGCCAACTGGCCAAGGCAGCCAGGGGCAGGGCCAGTGAGTGGCAGCGCCAGGTCGGCTGAGGCAGGTGTCAGTCACCCCATAGATTGGCCCTGATCACCAGCCAGGCCTAGGTACCCTACCTGTGCATGAATTTCATGCACCAGGCCTCTAGTCATTTTATAAAATCTATAAGTTTCCCCTTTTTGTGTGTATCATCCTTTGACTAACTAAAGAACAGACATCTTATTAAGAAAAAGTATAATATTTCTTCTTTATTCACTAGTGAGATGTTTCAATTATAGAGAAATTATTGGTATACAATAGTTTCTGTACTATTTTCTCTGCCTCCATCAGCAATGTTGCCCACAGCTGAAGGCCCTCATTTCCCCACCTGCTAACCACTTTCGGACAGAAAATGCAGGCTCAGTCAGAAGTAATTAAGCAGCTCAGGACAGGTTCACCTTCTCCACACAATGACAACTAGAACACTGCCTCTCTGCCTCACTGCCTCTGGTGCCTGTCCATTTGGTTCTGTAACATTCTTGCAAGTTAGATAAATTATCATAGCCCTAAGAGTTGAGAAAACTGAGCACAGACCTAAGTAGCAACCAGAGGCCCATGCATAGTGGGTGGGAGGTGGGGGATGGTGGTGGGGTGGCCTCAGTGTCCTACCTAGTAGTCGAGAGTTCACACACTTATGCTCTTTTCTTTTCCTGAATTCCTCTCTCCTTTATTTTCAGCACTCTAGAAAGAAATGGGGGGAGGAGAGGAAAGAAAGAAGGAAAAAAGGGAGACAAGGAGGGAGAGAGGGAAGAAGGGAGGGAGGAAAAAGGTTTTACTAGTAAGAATGGTTCTCTCATCAGACATTTTGGTTTTCTCTTTCTGTTTTTTTTTTTTTCAGATACTGGTCCTTTTTGAGAAGGAGAAATTAGAGAATTCACATAGCTGGACTTTAGGATTTATTGTAATGAGAGGAATCAATATCCTTCAGCCAAAGACTTACAGCCCTCTGTCTGTATTCTGTATTTTTTCATGTTAGAGTTAAATTTCAGGGGCCTTTTGGGAGCAACCTTTGGGCAGACTTTCTGGTAGTTTTTTTGATAAATTTGTATTTGGCTCGCTATAGTTCACTGTATCAAACAAGGAATAACCTTGGCCTAGTTGGGAACTGGTAAATTCTAAAAATGCTAGTGTTTGTCTATATTTGACCCCTCAGCCCTCCAGTCTGTCTTCCTCTTTTTAAGTTATAGTAATGAGGTGCAATTAGCATCTATCAATCTTAGTATACTAACATGTACTTATTATTTATTATTCTATTTTCCTAACTTTTGGAGATCCAATTTTTTTTAAATATATTTTTTAAGATTTCAGAGAGAAATGGAGAAAGAGATAGAAACATCAATGATGAGAGAGAATCTGACTGGCTGCCTCCTGCATGCCCCCTACTGGGGATGGAGCCTGCCACCCAGGCATGTGCCTTTGATCAGAATCAAGCCAGGGACCCTTCAGTCCACAGGCCGACTATCAACTGAGCCAAATTTGCCAGGACAAGAACCAATTGTTTATCTTCAAAGATAGAAAAGGAAGATTAAAACAATAATTTTCAGTAAGTACTCTTTCAGCTATTAATTGACTTATTCAACATATTTTATTTAGTGCCTGCTATAGGCCAGGCACCCAGCTGGGTAAGATAGGGTCCCTGCCTACAAGTGGTACAGTTCAGTAGGACAGGCAGACACATAACTGGCTAATCATAATTTTTAACACAGTAATTAATATACAGATTGTTATGGGATCACAGAAGAAAGGCACTTCACCTACCCCAGAGAAGATCAAGGTAGGCTTCAGGAAAGCCATAAACTTTATTAATGAAGATCTGTGATTCATTTGCCACAATTGCACATGGAAGTGTTTGGGCTTTTTGAATTAGACAAGTCTGTAATTTGGAATAAGACATCCACTAACTCTAAAGTAAAATATATGCCAAATTTGTAGCTAATGATTCGTTTTGAAGAAGGGAAGGATCTAATATAAATAAGTGACCATCAAGGGTAGGACTAGAGCTATAAGTTGTTGGGTTTATTTAAAAGTTTCTTTCCTTTTTATGTCCCTCCCTGCCCATATAATAGAAAAACAAAAATGAGAAATGTGCCTATAAGTGGAGGTTTTTATATTCTCCTTTCTGACCTGGCCTCTGTTACACTTGGGAATAAATAAAGGCACCATCATTAGATTGGTTGAAGATTAGTGCTGTTTGAGGCTAGAATAAATAAATAAATAAATAAATAAATAAATAAGCTTAATTAGTTTTGCAATCACTGCTCTCATGTAAAATTAAGTATGAGGAAAAACTCAATGTTAACTGCATTTGAGGTTTTCTAAGTCATGGATTTGAAAGGGATCTGCATAATAATTTTAAATCTTTGAAAATAAAAGTTTAATCTTTACAACAACCCTATGATCACCTCTACTTTATAGTTGGGAAAATTGAAGCACAAAGAAGTTTAAAAAAAAAAAAAAAAAAAAAAAAACTTGCCTAACTGCTAGTAAGTAGCAGAGATAGAATTTGAACCCAGCTCTATTTAAATATAGTTGTCTATTATTCATTGTGACAGCCTGCTGAAATAGAAATCTGTGTGGTTTCACTACCTGTGTTGTTCAATGACTCTAAACTTACCCTAGCAGGAGTAGGCTATTATAGACAATTGGTAAAAGTATGTGGTTGGGCCAGTGCAAATCCAGCACTGCTTCTGGAAAATATTGGTAGCGTGCTATCTTTAAATAATAGTCAAATTTTGATGTCATGGGTATCATTTAAAGTGGTAGTCAGCAAATCTCAGAGGAAAAGGGGTGGGGGCTGGAAGAGGTTAACCAAAGAATTTGTATGCACATACCCATAACCCATGGTCACAGACAATAGTGTGGTAAAGGCCTGGGGAGGGGGGGGAGTGGGTTGAGAGGGTCAATGAGCGGGGAGAAGGGGACATATGTAATACTTTCAACAATAAAGACAAGTTTAAAAAAATAAAGAACAAAAAAAAGTGTCACTCAGTGTCATTAATATTTTGTAATATGGGGATTGAAATGGTAAAACAGAATTGAAATATCTAGATTTAAAACATGATTAGTGAAGTTCAGTAGATAAGAGTAAATATATATGAAAATAGCAATATAAATGTTAACGTTAGATTTTACTTTCTTCACGAGTGTGCATTATACTATTTTATATATTATTTAATGTATAAAATATATACACTTTTTCATGTGCATGTGTTGTGTATTATCTATTCATCAAAACTATAATCCCTAAGATCAATCATGTATTTAAAAAAGGAATAAACATTAAAATCACAGGTCAGGGAAGGTTATCCAAGCTGATTCTCAAAAACCTTAATAAATTAGAGCAAATACATTATGTTATGGAGGCAGGTACCTGGATGCACTAAGTGGATATAAGAAATAAAAAGGTCATAATAAAGTGATTAGTTTAACTTAGATCTATTACAGCAATTTTCAACTGGTGTGCCACAAGAATTTTCTTAACACATGCAATACCTGACTATTTCATCAGGGGCACTGACCTCTTTTCCTTTAGATTGTCAAATTAAAAAAAAAAAAAAAAAAAGTGACAACAGCCAACACAATAGCCATCTTGTGTAAATGAATCAAAATTTTTCCTATTTTTTTGTCAGATCAGCAAAAGATGTATTTTTTGTTGTACCACGGAATTTTAGTAATTAGTTTACGTGTGCCCTGAGATGAAAAAGGTTGAAACTCGCTAATCTATTACATTAGGGGAAACTGGTTGGTGGATTTAAAAGTGTATACTCATAGCGTTAGATAGAGGGTGAAGGGGGAATTCTGTTGTAACTGAAGAGGGGTGTGGTCTGCACAGGCTAAGGAGGACTAGATAAGTTTCTTAAAGCACTGGCAGATGTGCATGGTCTTCAGAAATGGCTGATATCGCTAACACATTTTCTTTACAAACATAATAATTGTGTCTGTTACTGCCAGCCAGTTTAGTTAAGCTAGAGAAAGCACAGCCTGTGGATTTGGGCATGCGGACCCTGTGCCTCCATCTAGTCCTCCAGGTAACCATATCCCTACAGCTCCTGTAATCCTAGAGCAGGTACATGGATGCACTAAGTGGTGTAATGGGAGGGGGAGATAGCATCACAAGGATTCGTTTGATTATAACAGTAATCCACACCAAGTCAAATAAAATAGCCAAACAGTTAAAAACGTGGTCTCTAATGAATTTGCTAATTCTAGCAGGCCCTCGCAAACATTTCCTTCCGGAGTGCCCCATATCAAAACGAAATAGCTGTGCTTTAATTACATGGAATAATTATTCGATTTCCAGGAAGTTAAGACAGTGCTTTGTATTTAAATAAAAAGTTCTAGACACGCTGTGAAACTCGATCAAACCAACAAAAAAGGCGAAACCAAATGCCTATGCTGTGAGTCAAGATTTCAGCTGCTCAGCAAGCCTGACGTTACGGTTTAAGAGCCCAGAAAAAGGGGCATTTTAAAACCGGCCGACCGGATCATGTCACTTTCTTATAGGAAAAGCCTTGCCTTTGCAGAGATCTAGTGTAATGCAACCACGTGCTGTTGAGGGGCCTCAATCTTGCTGCCTTCGCCCCTCTGCACTGGCAGGAGCCCCAGTTTTCAGGGGAGGCGACCTCAAACTGTCGCCCTCACTTTTGAGGATCTTCTAAAATTCTGGGGTACCTTATCTCAATGGCTCTGCCAGCGAGTTTGGGGTAGGGAGGGCGGGGGGAGGCCTGTGGGTGTCTGTTTTGCCCGAGGAGTTGGAGAGTCTCGTGGAGAAGTCAGGCCCGGGCCGCTCCGGCGGCCGCTCCGGCGTGGAGCCGGCTGGGGTTAGACACATGCACACACTCCATAGAGCTCGCTTTCCCGTAGCAGCAGCTGCCTCTGCCTCTGCCTCTCCCGCCTCAGCCTCCTTGCCCGGCATCCACACACATTCAGATTTGCGCGCTGTTTCAATCCTTGATGACGTGTCCCCGGAGACAGCCAATAGCCGACGGGCTCTGGTCAGGACAATGGGAGGGAGCGGACCAATGGCCGGGCCCCGTGAGTTGGCGGTAGCCAATAGGAGGCGCTCTGGCTGGAGAGTAATGTTACAGAGCGGAGAGAGTGAGGAGGCTGCGTCTGGCTCCCGCTCTCACAGCCATTGCAGTGCATTGAGCTCCATAGAGACAGCGCCGGGGCAAGTGCGAGCCGGCCGGGCACGGGGTGACTGTGTGCTCGCCGAGGGTGAGTGCGGGCAGCGCCGCGGCGGGAAGGGCGCCTCCGGCAGCGCCCGGCTCGCGCGGCGGTGGGATCCGGCGGCCGGGAGCGGTGGGTCGGGATCCACACAAAGGCGGATGAGGGGGGACGGGGGGGAACTGCGCACGGAGCGAGCCCGGGGCGCCGAGCCCTGCCCCGCGCCGGACCCCGGCAGCCGAGCGCCGGAGCCCCGCGCCCGTGTCGCCCGCCGCCGGCGCCCGCGCTGACTGGCGCAAAATAGACATTTTTATGGGAAACATTTTTAATGTGTTTTCAGCCCCCCGAGCCGAGCGTTCGGGCGGCCGCCGGGCGCGGGGTCGGCGGGGCCGCCGCGGGGAGGCGGGCGGCGGCGCCTCCTCGGGCTGCATCGCCGCCGCAGAGCCGGGCGCGGACGGGCGGCGCGGTGGGCCCGGCGGCCTGCGCCCGGGCGGCGGCGCGGCGGGGGGAGCGGCGCCCTGCGCCCGCTGGAACATGGCTGACTCGCCCGGCGCTGCCGGCGGGGAGAAAACAAGGCGGCGGGCGGGCGGGGGAGCGGGGCGCGCAGTTCCGAGGCAACTTTTTTTCCTCTCCGCTCCCAGCCCCGTGGCCGCCGTGCGGGGGTGGCGGCGCGCGGGCCGCGGAGGGAGACGGGCGCGGCGCGGGGGGAGGGGAGGAGGAGGGAGGGTCCGGCGCGCGCCCCCCGCCCCTCCCCCCGGCCGCAATGGCCGAGCGTGCGCCGGAGCGCGCCGCCACCCCGCCCGCCCGCGCTCACACACACTCACTCCTCACTACACGCACACATACACACACACACACACATACACACACAAAGGGAAGGAGCCATGTTCGCGCTCGCCCTCGCGGCGGCGCAGGCGGGGAAGACGCGCAGCGGCCATTCCGTGCGCGCCGGGCCGGCGGCCGCGGGCGGAGCCAGCCCCCATTTCGAGCGGGGCTGCTCCCTTTCGAGCCCGACAAAATGGGGGCGGCGGGCGCACGTGGCGGGCCGGGCCCGCGCCGCCGCCCCCAGGCTTCGGGGGGCAAATGGCGGGAAGGAGTGCGGGCCCGGCGCCGGGAGCCCGCTCCGCGTGGCGCCTCAACTTTGACGGACAAAAAACACTGTGTGGGGGCGGGGGTCAGCCGGGGCAGGAGTGGCTTTTGTCCCTCATCCGTGTTTACTCAGAAACTTAAGACCGGACGTGTTAGGTCAGAACCGAAATTCGTCTCGGGGCCAAGCCGGTGGGAACGGCGCTGCCGCGCGTGCGGAGGAGCCGCGCGGACCCCGCCGCCGCCGCCCCGCAAAGTTTGTGCCTTTGCCGCGCGGGCGGTTGTCGGGACCCAGGAACTTCAGGCCTGTTCCTGCGGGGCCTCTTCCTACCCCTTCGGGTCTTAGCCCTTTACTCCTTAGGTGTTCCAGCTCCCAAATCCACACGTTAGTGTTCTGACGTCTTGTTGACTTTTAAATGGTTTTATACGTTTACAAAAATTTAAATGCCCGTTGAGGTATTCATTCCGAACAAATGAGTAACAAATACTGTGAGTGTAGCTTTGTGCCTACACTTTTTGAGATCACACCAAAGGGCCGTTTTCTGCTTGGTGTTGCCTCTTCTAGGAATTGCCTATCACTCCCAGCTTTTGGTCTGGTATCAGGGACGCCGATGTCGCTCCTGTGCTAAGTAACCAGGACCTTGGGTTTCACACACACCCCAAGAAGGCAGAGTGCTCTGAAATGTCAGTTTCATTGCTCACATCAAGCATTGTTTTCTTTTTTAAGGAAAGTAGTTAAACATGGGCAAAGGAGATCCCAAGAAGCCGAGAGGCAAAATGTCATCCTATGCTTTCTTTGTGCAAACTTGCCGGGAGGAACACAAGAAGAAGCACCCGGATGCTTCAGTCAACTTCTCAGAGTTTTCTAAGAAGTGCTCAGAGAGGTGGAAGGTAAGGCTTAAAACACACAAAAAAGTGGAGCCTGTGGCCATTTGCATACTGAGTGGTAATGTTAGAACAGGCAATAAATCACTGGTTTTATTCATTTTAATACTTCTGAGGATAATTTATCAGCTGAAAGTTTACAAATTCTTTTACAGACCATGTCTGCTAAGGAGAAAGGAAAATTTGAAGACATGGCAAAGGCGGACAAGGCTCGTTATGAGAGAGAAATGAAAACTTATATTCCTCCTAAAGGGGAAACAAAAAAGAAATTCAAGGATCCCAATGCACCCAAGAGGCCTCCGTAAGTATCTTGGCCATTTAAAAAGTGTTTTGCAGTAAAATCACAAATTCAGCAAGCCACCTTGTGAGTTTGGAGTGTATAAGCAAAGTTGCTTAGCTAATCGTGGCTCACATTGGCATATTTAAATGTAAGTAAAATTCCTGTGGGATGGGAGTTTGGCCAGAGCATTTGAACTTGGTATTTGCTTTCTTCCCCCAGTATATTTTGTAAGTGTCATTTTGAGTCTTTTTTGAGAAATATCTGAAATACTTAATTTGTAGAGTGTCTTTTTGGAACTCAACATTAATATTAATAGTGTCTGTTCAACTGGTAGTGACATGTTAAAAAAAAATGTAAATCAAGCTTTGGTTATGAAGGATAATTAGCATTTTATGATATTTGTACCCTATCCAATGTCTGCTAGAAACTAGAAGCAGTTTTTTATATGGCAATACACTACACATTTGATAGTAAACTTCTAAAATGAAATTTCTCTTTGTAGTTCGGCCTTTTTCTTGTTCTGTTCTGAGTATCGCCCAAAAATCAAAGGAGAGCATCCTGGCCTGTCCATTGGTGATGTTGCAAAGAAGCTGGGAGAGATGTGGAATAACACTGCTGCAGATGACAAGCAGCCTTATGAAAAGAAGGCTGCTAAGCTGAAGGAGAAATACGAAAAGGTAAGGAGTATAGATTTGCTTGGTGGAATTAGGTAATCTTAATTTCTTAAGAGTTTCTAAAAATTTGAGGTATAATGCGTTTTTTTGTTAGTATAACAGCATGTTTAATATATTCACTGGATATGATCCTAAGTCCTTTTCCATCTTTTAAATTTGTAGAATATGAAATTATACTGGAAATGTCTTGGGGTTTTTTGTTTGTTTTTACTTTATATTATTTGCATTGGGCTAAGGCTGTGCATTTAAGCTGGGTTTGTTATTCCCCGATATCTCCAAATATATTGGCGTTTTGGTAGTTACTTTGAGTCAGATGATTAGTTGTTTTAAATGGTCTTAAGTACACAATATAAAAGGAGGCTGAACAAAAATAATATAGCCTTCATAAACATGCCCTGAAACATTTATATTCTCCTTAAATAACCTCAACATACTCAATTTTAAGTTAAAAGTTAATGTCTGTGTAATAAATTAAGAAGGAAAGTCTATAGCGCCTGTACTTTGAATTGAAATATTAAAGTTAAATTTTATCTTATTCTGGGGTGGGTATTATTTTCTAGATGTTTCTTAACCCTAATTGTATGCTTCCTTGATAAATTACCTTTTGTTTTTAAAGACAAAAATTTCTTACTATGTATGGATTAGGATCTGACGATATAAACCAGTAGAATGCTTTTTTGCATTCAGAAGGTGGCAGTGTCTACCCTTTAATCAAAGTCTACATTCTAGTTTCAATAAAGGAATGTTAGTCTGTGCATGATTTCACTTCAGTGAGGCATAGCATGGCAAATATTAGACCATGAATTATAATCATCTCATTTTTATATGCATTTTTAAAAGTCTTGGTTGTTTGTGTAGGTAGAGTGAACCTTCAGGTGTGTGGTGTTTTAGCATAACTGGTATCTTGGGTTTTTTTAATCAGGTTTTCCCTTATTGCTTTTATTTCTCCCCTTAAACTATATTGTCTTTCCTACCAATTTCTCCTGCCCTTATCTTGGAAGGATATTGCTGCCTACCGAGCTAAAGGAAAGCCTGATGCTGCCAAAAAGGGAGTTGTCAAGGCTGAAAAAAGCAAGAAAAAGAAGGAAGAGGAAGAAGACGAGGAAGATGATGATGAGGAAGAGGAGGAGGAAGATGAAGAAGAAGATGATGAAGAAGAAGATGATGATGATGAATAAGTTGATTCTAGCGCAGTTTTTTTTTCTTGTCTATAAAGCATTTAACCCCCCTGTACACAACTCACTCCTTTTAAAGAAAAAAATTGAAATGTAAGGCTGTGTAAGATTTGTTTTTAAACTGTACAGTGTCTTTTTTTGTATAGTTAACACACTACCGAATGTGTCTTTAGATAGCCCTGTCCTGGTGGTATTTTCAATAGCCACTAACCTTGCCTGGTACAGTATGGGGGTTGTAAATTGGCATGGAAATTTAAAGCAGGTTCTTGTTGGTGCACAGCACAAATTAGTTATATATGGGGATGGTAGTTTTTTCATCTTCAGTTGTCTCTGATGCAGCTTATACGAAATAATTGTTGTTCTGTTAACTGAATACCACTCTGTAATTGCAAAAAAAAAAAAAAAAAAAAAGTTGCAGCTGTTTTGTTGACATTCTGAATGCTTCTAAGTAAATACAATTTTTTTTATTAGTAGTGTTGTCCTTTTCATAGGTCTGACATTTTTCTTCTTGAGGGGAAGCTAGTATTGCTTTTGCCCATTTTGGATCATATAATTACAGTGTTTATCTTTTCATGTAGTTAGCTGATAAAAGCTTTTGTCTACACACCCTGCATAATTGTGGTGAGGGTAATGAGAATTGAATTGAGATAGTTTTCATCCATAACAAACTCAAAGTGTTGGTCAGTTGATAATTTTCACATAGCCCAGTTACATTTACAAAGTGAAAAGTAACTGCTATTCACAGCATGGGATTATTAGAATCAAACATTTGAAAGTCTGTCCTTGAAGGACTAATAGAAAAGTATGTTCTAATCTTTACATGAGGACTTGACATTTTTTAAACTTCCATTACCATGTAATGGAAGTTATGTTTGCAGTTCCCACATTAAAGAAGGCCTGAGAATGTACCCCCAAAAGCGTGAGCTTAAAATACAAGACTGGTATGAAGTTTTTTGTTGACATTAGTCCTGGCAAAGGCTCTGAAGAAAAAAAAAAGTGCTGACTGTAAATGTCTTATTTATCTAAATATGGATTGCTTAGGAAACCTGAGACTCTATTAAAGGTATTTTTAATTAATTGGACCAACTTTTAAAATTGTATACCACATTTGAGATTGAATATATTGTCCAAATTATAGTTTGCCCCTTTATAAAATCAAATAGACATGAGGGAAAAAATCTTTGTATCACAGATTTGATTTTTATAAGACTCAAAACTCATTAGGGTCATGTTTATTCACTTAGCTATTTAGGAAACAATTTGGCAGTTTTGTGGTTTTTGACATTCTCTTAACGGTGCCAGTGTTTTAAAATAGCGTTCTTGTAATTTTACACGCTTTTGTGATGGAGTGCTGTTTTGTTATATAATTTTGACGGATATTTTCATTTGCATTTGTTTATGTAATTTCAGGAGGAATACTGAACATCTGAGTCCTG